ACTGCAGAGCAAGACCCTGTCTCCAAAAAAGACAAAACAAACAAACAAACAAACAAAAGACAACCTAGATGTGAGATAAAAACTTCCTGCAACTCAGCTGGGTGGGCATGGTGGCGCACACCTGTAATCCTAGCACTCAGGAGGCAGAGGCAGGAGGATTGCTGTGAGTCTGAGGCCAACCCGGGCACATAGCAAGACCCTGTCTCAAAAAAATTCTTTTTACACAACTAACTGGACCCCAAGCCCAGCCCTTGACCACAAGTTCCTTCTCCTCCGGCCCTCATGCAGCCTCTCCGAGGGCCCAGGGCCTTTGTTCCCCTCTAGAGCTGGTCCCACACCCTGGTTAGTGGCCTGGAGAGCCTTGACCCCTCCTAGCAGGGGCACCTCCTGAGACAGTTCGGAAATCTGGGCTACAGGGTGATTTGTCATAGCATCTGCAGCCACGACACCGCCCAGGCCCAGCCGGCACAGTTGCTTCGGTGTGTGAGTGTCTGAATGCTTCAGAGTCCAACCCCAGACTGACCCAAAGCCTCCCGAAATCAGGTTTTTCAGATCCCCAGCAAATTTTCCCTAAGGCCCACTTGGTCCCAGGGCTGCGCTGCGCACTTTGGGTATCTCACCCACTCATCTGAGGAGAGAGATGCAGACGGGAAGACGGGAAGACGCCTTGGCTCGCAAACACAGGTTGGTGTCAAAGGGAGGACCCCAGTCCAGGGAAGAAAACTGGAGGTAATGGGAAGCTTCCTGGGGTAGGCGTTTAGCTTCTCGCTGGTGCCCAGTACCAGCCGCTGAAAGGGGGAGAGTTTATTTGGGCTCACAGTTTGTAGAGGTTTCAGGCCATAGCTGTCTGGCTCCAAGGCAGGAATGTATGGCACAGGGGCGCAGAGGAGGCGAGCTGCTCATGACAGGGCAGACAGGAAACGGAGACTGAAGGAAGGGGCAGGGGAGGGAGAGAAATAATTCCAGGCCACACCACTTTTGATCAGAGCCTAACTCCTAACAGGAAGTTAATAAGAAATTAGCTATACAACCCAGGCTTAGTGGTGCACAGCTGTAATCTCCGCACTTGGGAGGCTGAGGTAGGAGGATCACCTTTAGTTTGAGGCCACAGTGGGCTACATGGAGAGTTCAAAGCCAGTCTGGACTACATAGTGAGACCCTGTCTCAAAACAAACAAACAAACAAACAAACAAAACAGAAAGAAAGAAATTAGCCATAAACCCCGTAATCCAATCATCTTCCAAAAACCCACCTAGGAGCCCATGAGGCTCTTGGGGGCCATCTAGGTATAAACCATAACAAGGAGTTCTCCTCCAAAGGTCACAAATCCTAGGCTCAGGTCCTAAAGAAATTCCTGCTGGCTGGGGCCTGCCCCTGGCTTGTACACAAAGTATCCTCCGGGATCTGCCTGCCTCTGCCTCCCCACTGCCCCAATTTAAAATTTGTTTTTGAGGGTTTTTTTTTTTGTACTGTTGATGGTGCTACAGATAAAACCCAGGCCTCCTCCATGCTAGGCAAGCACCCTACCACTGAGCTACATCCCCAACCCCCACCTTCAAAGAAATTACAGCTTGCTATCTGGCTGGCCCATGAAATCCTGGGTAGAAATCTCACTGAGGCCGACCTCCACACCTCTCTCCTTTTGTTCTTTTTAGAGATGGGTCTCACTATGTAGTCCAGCCTGGCCTCAAACTTATGGCATCCTCCTGCCTCAGCCTCCCAAGTGCTGGGATTATAGGTGTGCACCACCATGCCTGGCACTTGCCCTTTTTTTGTAGGGTCATAGTTACTCTAATCCTGATTCAACCCTGGGCTGGTGCTTTGACCTGGTTCAATTTCTGACTCAGGGGGCTGGGGATTTAGCTCAGTGGCAAAAGCGCCTGCCTGGCAAGCGCAAGGTTGTGAGTTCGATTCCTGGTACCAGAAGAAAAACAAACAAACAAAAAAAAATTTCTGACTCAGGCTGATTGACCCCAGAACTGTTAGACTCAAGCAGTCCTCCTCACTCAGCCTCCTGAGTATCTAGGACCACAGGTGCATGCATACCACGCTCCCCCGCCAGCCTTGGGGGCTAATGGAAACTAGCACTGGATTTCCAGCCTTCCCCTTCCCCAGGTTCCAGCTGTGTGACCGTAGGTCAGTTACATAACCTCTCTGAGCTCAGCCTCCTGCTGGACAAAATGGGAAGTGGCTAAATAAAACGGCCAGAGACCAGAGACCCCACAAACACAGCCCCATACAGCACAAGGAACAAAGAGGCAAATCTAGAGTCCATGCTGTTGAATCCAGGTCATTTCCAAACCAGGAAGCCGCAGAGTAAAGGTCTCATATAAGAGCCATCCTCTAGCATGCTGGGGGCACTGCTCTGGTGGAACACAGGGCCAGAATTAAGGCAAGACAGGTGAAACAGGAAGAGGAGACCAGATTTCCTGAATTTTCCTTTGGTCTCTAGCTCCAATATGTCTCACGCAAGACTATAACCAATCTTGTCTTATTTAAATTCTTAATATTTTATTCGTCGTGCTGGGCATGGTGGGGAACGCCTAGAACCCCAGCACTCGGGAGGCTGAGGCAGAAGGAGCCCTGTGAGTTGGAGGCCAGCCTGGGCTACAAAGTGAGTTCAAGGCCAGCATGAACCGCATAGCAAAACCCTGTGTGAAAAAGACAAAGAAAGTGAGTCCCTAAATTAGACTATGGACTTTGGGTGGTAGTGATGAGTCAATGTAGGTTTTATGAATTGTGACTAATATACCACCCCAGTAGGCAATGTTGGCAGTGGGGAACTGCCAGCTGGGCCTGGGTGTACCTAGGTGGAACTCGGAAGTTCAGGAGCAATCTCTGTACCTTCTGTTCAACATTACTGTGAACCTAAAACTGGTCTAAATTTTTAAAAATGGAATCTTTTTCAACCAGGCGAGGTGGCTGAGGCAGGAGGATCACCAAGAGCTCGAGGCCAGCCTGGGTGACATAGTGAGTTCAAGGCCAGCCTGCACTGCAGAGAGAGACCCTGTCTCAAAAAACAAAACAAAAAGAATCTTTTTAAAATCCAAAATAATTTTTTTGTTTGTTTGTTTTTTTGAGACAAGTTCTCGCTTGGTAGTGCAGGCTGATGTTAAATTCACTTTATAGCCCAGGCTGGCCTTGAACTCATAGTGATCCTCTTGCTTCAGCCTCCCAAGTGCTGGGATCACAGGCAGCACCACCACACCTGGCAAAATCAATTTATCTTGATGACTGATTTTTAGCTGCATACAAAGAAGATACCTCCCCCTAGGTAGTGGAAGGGCCCCTCATCCTCAAATCCTTAGAAACTTGGGCTTGGAGGAAGGTACTGCCCATGGGGAGTGGATTCCATCCATCTAGTCCCCAGTGTCCTCCTTCCTGTGCCCAGCTGTGTGCTGGGTGAGGAATACCTGAAAGCTGAGTGGGTCCCAAGTGTAGCTCCCTGGGGGAGTCCCAGGCCTGGTCACTCGGCTTCCCCTAGCCTGACTCATTCTAAATCCCAGGGCCATGAAAGAAACACTTCCAGGAGGGCCGTGCGGAGAAGCCATTCACATGCACAGCAGGCCAGCCTCATGGGGCCTGCCCCTGATGTCTAAATAGATGAGAGACTGGCCCATTCAGTAGGACTCAGCCACAAGCACCTTAGGAAGTGGAAGGACCCTCACTGCCACCCCAGGTGAGTCCAGAAGCCAGCTCCTGGGACAACACTCAGTTTCCTTAGTGCTCAGGCCCAACCCCAGCTCTTGGCTATATCTTGGCTTCATCTGGGGATCAGGGGCTACAACTGGGTAACAGTTGACATTGTCAGTTGCCATGGGCTTGGAGCAGGCCTCAGCAAAGACAGTACTTGCTGGGTGTGGTGCCACATCCCTGTCATCCCACCTGCTCTGCGGGCAGCTGAGGCAGGAGAATGCCAAGTCTGAGCTCAGCCTGGGCAAATAAAAAGGGCTGGGGGTGCACCTCAGGGGTAGAGCACTGCCTAGCACGCAGGCCCTGAGTTTAGGTCAATCTCCAGTACCAAAGAGGGGTGGGGAATACTTGTTCCACCACCCATTCTTTGGGTGAGCCTGGGAAAAACAAAAGTGAGTGAGAGGCGGGAGGAGAGAGAGAGGGAGAGAGACAGATACAGCGTCAGGCCATGTGACTGTGCCCTCCAAGGGGATGCGGGGGCCCTGGCCGCTTCCTGTCGCTGTTTCCCATCTGCCATGGAGCGACCAGGTCCCTCCACCACCTGTTCCCACCAAAATTTGCTGCCATGGACTGAGAGCTCCACAACTGTCAGGCAAAATAAAACTTGCATCCTTAAAAGCTGATTATTTCAGTATTTTGTCACAGTCATGGAAACTCTAACTAGCAGAAAAATCCAACCACCCACACAGCCTGTTCTTAGTTTCATTGTTGTTGGTGTTCTTGGTGGAGTTTTTTTGCGGCTGTTGTTTTTGTCTTTTTGAGACAGGGCCTCCCTATGCAGTTCAGGCTGGCCTTGAGCTCACTTTGTAGCCCAGGCTGGTCTTGAACTCACAACGATCCTCTTGCCTCAGCCTCTCTCAAGTGCTGGGATTTAAGCATGCATCACCATGCCCAGCTGTTACTGTTCTTTGAGACAGGGTCTGGCTATGTAGCCTGGGCTGGCCTTGAACTCACAGGGATCTTCCTGCCTCAGCTGGAAGTGATGTGGATTTCAGGCATGCACCACTATACTCAGCAGCACAGCCTGCTCTTCCCAGGCAGTGAGAGTCTCCGCTGGTGGCTAACAGTAGCTACAGGGCTGTCACTAGAGGAAGCGGGCAGGGCTTGCTGGATGGGTTTTGGTTTACTTCTCTCGAGAGTGGGGGAAACTTGCTGGAGTCTGAAATACCCTCTTGGGATGGGGCTGGTTTGCTGACTGTTGACACCAGGGACAGGGACAGCACAGGAGGGAGAGACTGAGGGGCCCAGATGACCTTGATCCAGGGCATTCTGCTCCCACACACCTGCTGTGTCCCTCTGCTCTGTGAGAAACCGCCGTGTCAGTCACCACTGGACTTTGACAGGGGCAAGGGCTGTGCTCTGCCCTCCCACCTGTCCCCTTCCAGCGCTGCTGAGGTTCTTGCTGAGGCCAACCGGATACGTCCCCTGGAGTCTGGAGCCCCACAATGAGACCCCATGGTGTCCTCTGGATCCTGCTCGGATTGCTGCTATGGCCAGAGCCCAGAACAGGTGGGTCGGAGGGCAAAGGCGTGGGTCCGGGACTTTCAGCTCCACACAAGTGTATGGTGGCTCTTTTATTTTTTTATTTATTGATTGATTGATTGTCTTTTTGAGACAGGGTCTTGCTATGCAGCTCAGGCTGGCCTTGAGCTTACTTTGTAGCCCAGGCTGGTCTTGAACTCACAAAGATCCTCCTGCCTCAGCCTCCCGAGTGCTGGGATTACAGGTATATGCCACCACACCCGGCCACAGTGGCACTTTTGGGGCCCTCAGTGGCCCTGAATGGGGCAAGACAAGAGAGACCAGTTCTCAAGGAACCTCCAATCTGGGGATTCCCAGAAGGCTCCCAGCCCCATTAAATCAAAACAGGAATGGGGACTGGGCACAGTGGTGCATGCCTGTAATCCTAGCACTTGGAAGGCTACCCAAGTGCCCTCCCAAGCTACTTAGGAGGCTGAGGCAGGAGGATCATAAGCTTGACGCCAGCCTCCGCAATTTAGTCAGACTCTGTACCAAAAAGGAAAAATAAAAAGGCTTGAAAAGAGGATATCCCTCAGCACTCCCTGGGTTAAATCTCATAACACACACACACACACACACACACACACACACACACACACACACACATCTGCAGTGGTTCCTGACACAGAGTAAATGTTTAATAAATATTGGTGATTTATCCAATAACCCAGCTTTGGGCCAGGTAACCTAACACTTCTAAATTCTAGATTTTTGCCAGGCATGGTGGCACATACCTGTAATCCCAGCACTCAGGAGGCTGAGGCAGAAAGATTGCTGTGAGTTCTGTCCTGGGAATGGATGGTGCACTTCTACACCTCCCAGAACTTGGGAGGTTGAGGCAGGAGGATGCCATAAGTTCAAAGGCAGGCTGGGTTATTGCTTACTGTCTTGGGATGGGCCAGCCTGAACTACACAGTGAAACTATCTCAAAAAAACAAAATAATAATAATAATAATAATAATTCTATGTTTTTAGCCATTGAAAAGGCACAATCCCATTCTGCTTCTTTTCTTGGCCATCTTTCCAGATATCTTTACCTCTAAAACTCCTAACTCCAATCTATCACCCAAAATGATAAATCTTTTTTTTTTTTTGAGACAGGGTCTTGCTATGTAGTTCAGGCTGGCCTTGGACTCACTGTTAAGCCCAGGCTGGAATTTGCAGTGATTCTCCTGCCTCAGCCTCCCCAGTGCTGGGATGATATGTGTGCCCAACCATGCCCAGCTGCATCTTTTATCCTAAATATCTGGGGACCCCCTCTGTCTTTGTTACACCACCACACCATCTCCCTGTCTCTCCTTCTGCACTCTGAAAATCCTTTTCCTTGTGGCAGCTGCAGAAAGAATCTTAGAATGCCAGCCTAGCCTCTCTTTTGCTCCTGCTTATAATCTTACATGGCTTCCCCATGCTCCCAGCTCCTTAATCAACACACAACAGTCTGACTGCCTCAGTTTCCCCTGTACACAAGGACAGTTCTGAGAGTCACCAGGTTACTAGGTGGAGAGCTAGGAGAAGGGGGAGGTGTGGGATCGGCAGGGGATGTTCAGAGACAGATGCCACATTCTCTATCCCATAGCCTCCTTGCCTCTCGTTATGGACTCCGTCATCCAGGCCCTGGCTGAGCTCGAGCAGAAGGTGCCAGGGACCGAGGTCAACCAAAGTGCCTCTGCGTGGCTTCTATCAGCCCAGAGCTCTGGGCCTGTCCATCCCCTCCACCACCTCCTGCTGACGATGCCAAATCTCAAGGTCACCGAGCTGCAGCCCCCGCCACTGAACCCAGAGCTTCAGGACCTGGCTGAGGAGGTGGCCCGACACGATGTACGGGACGGGCGGGAGTACGGGGTGGTGCTGGCACCTGATGGCTCCACTGTGGCTGTGAAGCCTCTGTTGGCGGGACTGACGGCCGGACTACAGGTGCACAAGGTCTTAACCTTAACCTTGCCCTCGGAAAGCCTGGCCACCCCTCAGGATGCTGAAGCCACCTCCCCTGGACCCACAGGTGCTTCTCCAGATATCACCCCTACAGATGCCACAGCCACCTTACCCAAAGGCAAAACCAGATCGCTCAGTGCTAGAGACAGCTTCCTGACGGTCACCCTCGCTGCAGACCTGGGCCTGGCCTTCCTCCAGAGTCCCCCAAACAAGAGCCTCCCGGGCCTGGGAACTGACGGCTGCTGGGACCAGCTCTCTGCCCCCCAGAACTTCACACTGCTGGACCCCAATGCATCCGTGCTGACCACGGCCTTCCTCAATGGAGCCCTGGATGGTGCCCTCCTCGCAGACTACCTGAGCAGGGCCCCTGAGCCCCAGCCATCCCTCAGCTGCTTGCTGAGCGAATACTATGGAGCTGGGGTGGCTGGAGACCCCGAATTTCGCAGCAACTTCCGGCGGCAGAAGGGGGCTAACCTGACTTCCGCCTCCAGCCTGGCCCAGCTGGTCCTGGGGACTCTTGTCCTACTACAGAGTATGGAGCCGGGACCAGCACAGCTGCAGAACATCAGCCAAGAACAGCTGGCCCAGGTGGCCGCCCACGCTGCCAGGGAGTTCATGGAAGCCTTCCTGGGTGAGAAGATCCCTACCCTTGCGGCCCTTCCTGTCAGAGACACAGACATTCCCAGTGCCATGGGATCAGCGGGATGCAGGGCCACAAGAGTCCAGAGGGTACATTAAGGGCTTTGGATAGGGGAAGGGTAGACCTGTTGTACATTAAGGAAGTGCTAGAAAGAATAAGGCCTTAAAGGATGAATAGGAGTTTATCTGTTTGTTTTCCTGAAGGTGGTGCTTTTTGCTTGGTTTTGTTCGTTTTGTAGTAGGTATTCGGGCTTGAACTTAGGCCTTTACATGAAGCTATATCCACAGCTGTTTTTTTGTTATTTTGAGAGAAAGAGCCTTGCTAAACTTTTAAGTGACTCAGACAGGTCGCAAACTTGTGATCCTCCTGCCTCAGCCTCCCAGTGTGCTGGAATGACAGGTTTGCACCATGAACCAGTATGGTCAGCCTCGCTTGAATTTTTTCTTTTTTTTTTTTTTTTTGTCTTTTTGAGACAGGGTCTTGCTATGCAGTTCAGGCTGTCCTTGAGCTCACTTTGTAACTCAGGCTAGCCTCAAATTCACAATGATCCTCCTGCCTCAGCCTCCCGAGTGCTGGGATTACAGGCCTGCACCACTACGCCCGTCTGAATTTTTTTCAAAGTGAAGAAGACCTGGGTGTGGTGGGACATGCTTGTGATCTCAGCTCCTCGGAGACTGAGGGAGGAGAATCGTATATTCAAGGTCTGTGTGGGCAACTTAGTAAGACTTTGTCTCAAAAAAAAAGATAAAGGGCTGGGAGGGGGCATAGTTCAGCAATGCAGCTCTTGCTTAATAGGCAAGGCCCTGGATTTGATCCCCAACACTGCTAAAAGAAAAAGAAAGCCAGGCAGAGGTTGTCTAAGTCAGCTTTCCATTACTATAACAAAATATCCGAGACAAAGCAACTTAAGAAGAAAGGTTTATTTTGGTTCATAGTTTTCAGCAGAGTCAGCTGCCCATTGCTTCTGGGCCTGTAGCAAGGCAACACATCATGGTGGGAATGAGTAGCAAGTGACAGAGGAAACTGCTCACCCCTTGCACCTGGGAGCAAAGAGAGAAAGGAAGGACTGGCATCCCAGTGTCCCCTCCAAGGCACATCGACAGTGACCTAACCTCCTCTCACAAGACCCCACCTTGAAAGCCCCTACCACCTCCCAGCCAAGCCTTTAATCCCTGGGTCTTTGGGGACATCCCAAGCTCACACCATGACCAAGACATTGCAGGCAGCCAGCTCAGTGCAGATGCGCAGAGGTTCAAGGGGAAGTTCAGCTCAAAAAACGCAAGCTAAGATTCCTTTTTCAGTGTTGCTGCCCTTCCCTCGGGTCAGAGCAGGGCCAGCTGGAGCGTCACTGTTCCAGGTCCATTTTAAGGCCCCGCCCCTGCTCTAACATGCCTCTACCCACCACAAATTCCTCTCCCCAGGTTCTGCCCACTAGTTATACTCACATAGTCAGCTGGGTTCCTGACCGGCCGACCCCCATCCGCCAGAGGCCCCCCAGCACACACACACACACACACACACACACACACACACACACACACACAGAGGCACACGCCGGGCCCCGCCCATTCTGTTCTCCATCACCTGTCCCTCACCGCCCAGCCAAGCCCAGGCCCCGCCCACCAAGGCCCCAGGCCCCGTCCGCCTTCTCCCGCGGCTGCTCTTAAGTCTGAGCTTAAGTCTGCGCTAAAATTAGAATTTTATCCCAAAAGTTACGGGACACACAGCAGATATTCCAAGACTGGGATATTCCAAGACTTCGATTTAGTTAAGTTAGGGCCTAGTGGGGGCCAGTGTGGGATGAGATGGGACTCTCACTAAATCTGGGACGACACCGGAGGGACGATCCACGCGTGCGCATTCCCAGGGGCGCAGACGCCAGCCGGGAACACTTGCTGACCCAGCTTTGACTTCCTCGCCCCCAGGATGCCCAGCCATCCACCCTCGCTGCCGCTGGGAAGCGGCGCCCTACCGGGGCCGCCCGACGCCACTGAAGCTGCCGCTCGGGTTCTTATACGTGCATCACACGTTCGAACCGGCGCTACCTTGCACCACCTTCGAACGCTGCGCCGCCAACATGCGCTCCATGCAGCGTTTCCACCAGGACACTAGAGGCTGGGAAGACATCGGCTACAGGTGGGCGGGGAGGGGCGGGACCAGGGGCGGGGCCGAAGGTCGGAGTGATGGGTGGTGCTTGGCTCGGGCGGGACTGGCGGGGTGGGTGGGGCAATCTGGGCGGGGCTGGTCGAGGGAAGCTAGTGGGCGGAGCCTATCAAGGGGAGGAGGAGTTTGTGACGGGCGGAGTGCGGTTAGAGCAGGGGCTGTCCTTAACTGGGACCCGAAATAGCTGAACAGCGGGAGGGAAAGACTGCGACGGGAGAAAGGAATGGGGTGGCTGGTGGGGTCTGGGTCTGGCGGTGGCGGTGGTAGTCTAAGAGAAAAGCTCTGAGCTGGGTAAGACCTGGACCTGAGAACAGGAGGGATGGAGGACAGAAAGGGGACTCCGGGGCCTGGGGATTTAGCTCAGCGGCACAACGACTACCTGGCAAGCGCGAGGTTGTGAGTTCGATTCCCGGTACCAGAAAAAAAACAAAAACAAAAAATAAATAAATACATAAAGAACAGGGACTCAGCTAGCGCTGAGGGGGGTGATCCAAAGAGACAGGGAAATTTCTGGGGTGGCACTGGGAGTGGAGAGTGTTGTGAAGCTGAATGGGACAGAGGCAGGGTGTCGGACATAGGGTCAGAGGGCCCTTGGAGTCAGGGGGCTACCACGGTGAGATGTTCCTTGAAGCTAGATGTTTCTTAGGGTCAGATGACCCTGGAGGTCAGGTGGCCATTGGGATCAGGTGATCTTTGGGGTCAGGTGATCTTTGAGGTCAGATGGCCTTTGGGATCCGGTGGCTGGTGATGGTCACAGGGACAGAATGGGGGAGGGACGGTTCAGGGAAGAAGTGAGGCCTCCTTCCCCTTCCCCTGCAGTTTTGTCGTGGGCTCTGAGGGCTACGTGTACGAGGGCCGAGGCTGGCACTGGGTGGGCGCACACACGCGCGGCTACAACTCCCGCGGCTTCGGCGTGGCCATCGTGGGCGACTACACCAAGTCGTTGCCCAGCAAGGCCGCGATGCGCACTGTGAGCGACGAGCTCCCGAGCTGCGCGGTGCGAGCCGGCCTCCTTCGGAGCGACTACCAGGTCCTGGGCTACCGCCAGCTTGTGCACACCGACTGTCCCGGCCATGCGCTCTTCCGCCAGCTGCGCACCTGGCCGCACTTCTCCGAGGTGAGTCCTCTGGGCACACAGGCTCGGTGCAGCCCCCGGCGCATCTTCCTGGCAACCTAACCTAGGCCCAGCCTTTAGTCGCTGCCAAGGCTGTCCCCTGTCCTGTGACTTCTGCCTGTATAACCCCAGCCCAGCTTATACAACCGTAGTCTTGCCCTGGGCCCCTACCTGAAGGTCTTCTGTCCAGGTAACACCAGCCTAGCCTTTGACTCTACCCAAAACCCCTTTACCCACACAACCTCTGTCCAGGCCCTAACCCTGTGTTGTAATCCTCCGTTCACCAAATGTCAGTCCTGAAGATGCTGTTCAGCCCCACACTTAGCTCCACCCACACAACTCAGCCACTGAGAGTAATTAGGGCTCGGCCGGGAGACCCCTAGCCTCAGTCACTGAAATGTGTAATCATACCTGGAGAATCTCATCCCACCTGCACACCACCTTATCGGTCGGGCCCCCTGGCCTGCAGTGAGCTTTTAGCCACTCCCACACTTTGACCCCTCCCCAACAGAAGTCCCCACCTTGAGGAGGGCACTGACCGCTACACGTGCACTCCAGCCTGGTGTTCGCTTGTGTCTTCCAGACTGGAAACTAAGAACTGCCAGGATGGCCTCTCAGAGATCCAGGAGGGCACTGCCTCTCGTGGGCAATTCTTCCAGCAGCTGCAGGTCTCCAATAAAGTCACCATAGAAAGAAAATCTCTGGTCTCACATCGTCTGTGTTTGTGCCAGTTGTCTAAATTTGGCTTTGTCCCAGAAGCAGACTTGAGATGAAAGGGGGCTATGGGTGTGGCTCAGTGGTAGAGCTTAGCATGCTTGAGGTACTGGCTTCCATCTCCAGCACCACAAAAATAAAAAATACGCAAAATTAAGCCGGGCGTGGTGGCACACACCTAGAATCCCAGCACTGTGGGAGGCTGAGGCAGAAAGATCACAAGTTCAAGAGCAGCCTGGGCAACTTAGTGATTTAGCAAGACCCTGTCTCAAAGTAAAACGAAGAGCTGAAGATGTAGCTCAGTGCAAAGGCCCTGGGTTCAATTCTCAGTACAATAAATAAATAAATAAATTGCAGTACTAGTGGCTGATTGGGAGGTGGCCCTGAGACATATCTGTTGGGCGATGAGGAAGCAAAGCAAGGAAGGAAGAGCGGCCGGGGAAGGATATGTTATCAAGCAAGTTCCCACTGAGGGCAACCAGACCTCAGTCCCACAGGAGCAGCACAGGACAGCATACCTCAGAGTGATCCCATGAAAGAGGTGAGGGAGCCAGGGTCACTGGCTGAGGACCGCCTCTGGGAAGTGTTCATTGCATGGCATTTGGGGGCGGCTTGTCATATGGGTAGAGTGGACTCCACTTGCTGAGAAAATCCTCCAGCAAAAATGCAGGGAAAGCCAGGTGTGTTGGTACACACCTGTGATTCCACCATTCAGGAGGCTGAGGCAAGAGAATTTCCATGAGTTTGAAGCCAGTTTTGGCTACATAGTTTGAGGTCAGCCTGAACCACATAGCAAGAACCTGTCTCAAAAAAAAAAAAAAAAATTAAAATAAAGACCAAAACTAAAACCAAACAAATATAATTCTTTCTGATGCTTGAGATCAAACTCAGAGCTTCATACATCTGAGGCAAGTGCTCTATCACTGAGTGACAGCCCAGCCCTATTTTTACTTTTACTTTTTTGTGTGGTCCTGGGGATGGAACCCAGGGCCTCGAGCATGTGCTCTACCACTAAGCTCTATCCCCAGCCTCTTTTTACTTTTATTTTGAAACAGGGTCTCACTACGTTTCCCAGGCTGGTCCCAAACTTGCAGTCCTCCTGCCTCAGTCTCACTAATTGCTGGAATTATAAGCATGGGCCGTGGGATGTTGCAATATTTATTTTTCATTGAAAAATTGTTTTGTTTTGCTTTATTTTTTATTTTTTTGAGACAGGTTCTTGCTATGTAGTCCAGACTGGCCTTGATTTTGGGTTTTTGTTTTTTTTTTTTTTTTGTCTTTTTGAGACAGGGTCTTGCTTTGCAGTTCAGGCTGCCTTTGAGCTCATTTTGTAGCCCAGGCTGGTCTCGAACTCACAGCAATCCTCCTGCCTCAGCCTCCTGAGTGCTGGGATTACAGGCGTGCGCCACCATGCCCGGCTTCAGACTGGCCTTGAACTCACTATGTAGCCCAATCTGGTTTCAAACTCCTGGTGATTCTCCTGCCTCAGCCTCTGGAGTGTTACATGACAGGTGGGCCCCAACGCATTAGGTTACATTATGAACATTTTGAAACTTGATGTTATCATCTTGTACAAATAAGGAAAGCTAGGGTTAGAGAGAGGTCACACAGGGAGAGAGCTGTCAGCTGGTACTCAAACTAATTCCTGTCTGGTTCTTGGATCAGAATGATGCTGACAAGCCAGGTGTGGTGGCACACGCCTGTAATCCCAGCACTCGGGAGACTGAGGCAGGAGGATCTTTGTGGGTTTGAGACCAGCCTGGGCTACAAAGTGAGCTCAAGGCCAGCCTGAACTACACAGCAAGACCCTGTCTCAAAAAGACCAAAAAAACACAAAAAAACAAAAAAAACCTACAACAACAACAGAATGATGCTGACCTGCTCATTTGTCAGATCAGTATTTGTTCACCTTTTGTTGGGAGGGGGTGTTTTGAGACGGGGTCTTGCTGTGTAGCCCAACCTGGCCTCAAACTCATGGGGATCCTCCTGCCTTAGCCACCCAAGTGCTGGGATGACAGGCATCTACCACCACACCTGGCTATCCACTTTTTTTTTTTTCAAGAAAACATTGAGGTATAAGGTACAGGACAGCAAACCAAAATATATTGCTTAATGAATTTCACAACAGACCACACTCATGGAACCTGCATTCAGCTGAAAAACAGAATGTGCTAAATTTGAATTATGTGAACTTCAGTTCTATTAAAAAAGAAAAGACGAGGCTTAGTGGAGTACACCTATAATCCCAGCACTTGGTAGGCTGAGGCAGGAGGTTTGCCTTGAGTTCTCAGCCTGCCTGGGCTAGCAAATTCAAGGCCAGCTTGGGCTACATAGGAGGACTCTATAAAAAATAAAAAAAAAATAAAAAAAATCAGCTCCCAGAAGTTGCCTTTGTCGCTAGCCCTTGTAAAGGAAACCAATATTCTGACTTGTTACATGTATTCTCTCTTGCTTAGGAGCTTTGCATTTAAGAAACATGCAATATATATATTTGGTGTGGTGGGGGTGGTACTGGGGATGTAACCCAGGGTCTTCTCCCTCAGCTACATCCCCTACTCTTTTTTATTTTATATTTTGAGACATGGACTTGCTAAGTAATTAAATTGCCCAGGCTGGGTTTGAAATTGACAACCTGCCTGCCTCAGTCTCTCAATGCTGGGAATATAGGCCCGTACCACTACACCCAGTTTATACAATACATGCCCTTCGTTGTGTTTTGGCTTTTGTTTTTGTTTCGGCTCAGCAGTCAAAGTCGTGGATTTAACTGACCTGATCGAAGGTAAATCATTCAGTAGCTCTTTGTCATTGCTGCATAGTATTCCACTGTATGAAGACACCATAATAAATTTTAAAATCTATTCTTTAAAAAAAAAAAAAAGCAAGCATGCCAGGCATGGTGGTGCATGCCTGTAATCCAAGCACTAAGGAAACTGAGGTAGGAGAAGTGCCGTGAGTTTGAGGCCAGCCTGGACTACGTAATGAATTCAAGGCCCCCTAAACTACACAGTGAGACCCTATCTCAAGACAGAAACAAAAAACAGGGTCTCTGCGTATTCCAGGCTGGCCTTGAACTCACTGTGTAGCCTCGGCTGGCCTCAAACTCATGGGTGATCCTCCTGCCTCAGCCTCCTAGTACAGGGGTGATAGGCATGTGTTACCAACCATGCCCAGTTTAAAACAATCTATTCCTTAAGGAGATCAGGCCAAACAACTCTCCAACCTGGATAAACAGGTCTACACTCTGGCCAGCTGCACATGAGAACTTTGGGTGCTCCTAACCTTGCCAGCATCTATCCAGCATGTGACCATTTTACAGAAGGGACAACTAAGGCTCAAAGACAGGGACAAGTGTTGCCTCATGGTTAGTGAGGGATTCTGGGCCCGTCTTACCAGAAGCCTGCAGGCCACCCGCCTCTGCCACCTCCCCTCCAGTCCCTCCCCTGCATCCTGCCCCGGCTGTGCCCTTGCAGCCTGGCTGTGGGGTGGGGTAGGACAGCCAGGGTCACGTGGAATTGGGTTCAGTGGGAGGAAGCCAGGCTGGGTGCAGACGGCTGCTGATTCTGGGGCTGGCCAGGAAATCAAGGTAAGAGAGAGGAGGGCGCATGGCCCCCAAGGAGTTCCCTGGAGGGAGAGCTGAGAGCAGAGAGGGGACAGAGGTGAGGACGGTATGCAGGCACAGGTGTCACCCTCTTGTCCCCCAGGATCGCCTCCGCCATGGACTCACCGTCACCGAGCCAGCTCTGCCAACCCCAGCCCGCGGCCCCGTCTCCACTGACATCCTACCGCTGGCACCTGGGGGGCAGTGGGGAGAAGGGGTCTGGAGGCTTCCGCTGGGGCCGCCTCGCCGGCTGGGGAAGGGCACTGAGTCACCAGGAGCCCATGGTGAGCAGCCAGCCAGCCCCTCGTTCACTATTCCGTCGGGTGCTCTCTGCACCCCCCAAAGAGTCACGGAGCAGTCGCCTCCGGCTTTCCAAGACCCTCTGGAGTCGGCACAAGAGCGCACCACTGGAGCCAGAGCCGGAGCCAGAGGCCGCAGGTAGGAGCTCCCCCACCCTGCGCTGCGTGGGGCCCGGGCTACGTAGCCGGATGCTTGGGTTTTGTCTGCCACTGGCGCATCAGCCCTCTAGACACAGGAAGTTGTGGGGAGCACAGAAGCCTGGCAGGAAGTGGCGGAGGCCCCCGTAGCCCTCTTCCTTCTTTCCACCTAAAGCGGGCTGGGGGTGGGGTTTGCCGAGAACCTATGGGTCCCTCCTGGGGAAGGGACAGGGATAAACTCACAGTAGCACTGTGACTCACGGAGGTAGAGCCCAGGTGCCAAAAGGGTCGTGGCACCAACTGATCTCTCCTGTGTCCAATGGTCCAGCCTTAGCCTCCTCTGCCTGGATATCCACCTCAGCGGTTCTCCTGCCTTCTAGCCTGGTGACTTAGTCTCTTTGCCTCCCTGAGCTCTACTTCCCCATCAGTTTTTTGTTTTGTTTTTGGTTTTATTGAGACAGGGTCTCACTATGTAGCCCAGGCAGGCCATGAACTCACAGCTGTCCTCCTGTCTCAGCCTCCTGAGTGCTGGGATGACAGGCGTGCACCACCACACCTGGTTACCCATCAATTAAATGGTATTAATGATATCTACCTTGAATAGTAATTTTTTTTGTTTTTTTGTTGTCTTTTTGAGACAAGGTCTCACTATGAGGTTCAGGCTGGCCTTGAGCTCACTTTGTGGCCCAGGCTGGTCTCAAACTTGCAACGATCCTCCTGCCTCAGCCTTCTGAGTGCCGGGATTACAGGCGTGTGCCACCACACCTGGCGATCTCTACCTTGAAAGGCATATCATTTCATTAATTCATGTTCCTTCAGTCAGTTAAGCAAGGGGTTGTTCAGCATTTAATGTGTGTCAGTCTCTGATTGATACATAAGATATGACAGTGATCAAGTTAGGTGACATTCCCTGCCCTATTATACTCATGGAGGAGAAGGTAACAGTAAAAATGTCAACAGAAAATGACAGGAGGGGGGCTGGGGATTTAGCTCAGCGGCAAAGCGCCTGCCTGGCAAGCGCAAGGTCGTGAGTTCGGTTCCCGGTACCGGAGAAAAACCAAAAAAAACAAAAAAACAAAAAAACAAAAAAAAAAGAAAATGACAGGAGGAGGCTGGATGTGGTGACGTATGTCTGTAATTGCAGCACTTGGGAGGCTGAGGCAGGAAGATCACTGTGAGTTCAAGGCCAACACGGGATACACAGGGAGTTCGGGGCCAGCCTGAACTGCATAGAGACCTTGTTGCAAAAAACAAAAGAAAAGAAAAGAAAAGAAGAAAAGAAAAGAAAAGAAAAGAAAGAAAAGAAAAGAAAAGAAAAGAAAAGAAAAGAAAAGAAAAGAGAAAAAGGGGGCCAGGGATATAGCTCAGCAGCACAGTACCTGCCTGGCAAGAGTGAGACCCTGAGTTCGATTACCAGTACAAAAACAACAACAACAACAACAACAAAAAAGATGACAGAAGGGGTTCCAAGGGTTACAGAGAGGGACCTACAAAGGGAACGGATGTCACATGGATTGGAGCTCAGGCTTGTACACAGCCCTGCACCAGCAGGGAGCCTGGCACGGTTCAAGTGACCCACCAACAAGGAATTATCATTTGCTGCCCCTAGCGGTAAAACAAGGGAACACTCCTGTGGGAGAGCTCATCTAATTCTCACCGCTCACATCTGCATCTTGCAGGGGCAACCCTTTAACCCTCCGCGGGGGATCAGGGCTTGCCCACTGCCTGAGATCCAGAGAGAGCTCTCGAATAAGTAGAGCTGCTCCTCATTTGATTAACTCCCTCCCAGGCTCCTACTACCCCCACGATAAAACTCTCCAAGAGTGCCTCAGACCATGTTTCTTCTCTTTGTGGCCCTTCCCGCCTAGCCTCTGCACCCTGCTCCCTCTGTCCTTCCCTTTATTTTGCTGGGCCTTGCCCATCCTCTACCAGGCTGGCCACGAACTTCTGGAAATCCCCCTGCCTCATCCTCCCCAGTACTGGGATGACAGGTGTGTGCCACTATGCTTGGCTTTCTCTTTGTGTCAAAATCCAACCTCCTATTTAAAACCTCAGGCAAATCCACTCCCTCTGGAAGTCTTCCTTGACTTAGTAACATCTACCATTTCTCCAGAAAGAGAACCCACCTACCCTGAGGTTTTTTTTCTGCCTTTCTTAAACTTTGAATACTTTTTACCTTTAGGTTTAGTTATTTAGGTAATGAACCAAGGATCTTGTCCTTGTTTTTGTTCTTTTTTGGGGGGGAGGGTCTTTTTTGAGACAGGGTCTCTCTATGCAGTTCAGGCTGGCCTTGAGCTCACTTTGCAGCCCAGGCTGGTCTTGAACTTGCAACAATCCTCCTGCCTCAGCCACCTGAGTGCTGGGATTACAGGTGTGCACCAATACGTCAGGCTCATTTTTGTTTCTATTTGTGTTGGGGCTTGAACCCAGACCTTTGCACTGAGCTACATCCCCAGGATTGATTGATTGATTGGTTGGTTGGTTGATTGATTTCAGGCAG